ACTGCACAGATATAGGATGGAAGACACCTGGCTAGACAGCAGTACCTGTGAAAGGGATCTAGGAGTCTGGTAGACCACAAGCTGATCATGAGTCAGCAGTGTGTTGCGGCTGCCAAGAAAGCCAATGCAATTCTTGGTTGCATCAATAGAAGTATAGTGTCTAGATCAAGGGAAGTGATAGTACCACTGCTTTGGTCAGACCTCACCTGGAGTATCGTGTCCAGTTCTGGGGACCTCAATTCAAGAAGGATGTTGACAACCTGGAACGTGTCCAGAGGAGGCCAACCAAAATGGTCAAAGGTCTGGAAGCCATGTCCTATGAGGAGCAGCTTAGGGAGCTGGGAATGTTTAGCCTTACAAAAAGAAGGTTAAAGAAGGGGACATGATAGCCATGTTTAAATATTTGAAGGGATGTCATGTTGAGGAAGGGACAGGTTTGTTTTCCATGGCTCCAGACACGAGGACAAGGAAGAACTTCCTGACAGTCAGAGCTGGTCGGCAGTGGATTATGCTGCCTCGGAGTGTGGTGGAGTCTCCTTCTTCGGAGGTTTTTAAGCAGAGGCTGGATGGCCATCAGTCAGGAGTGCTTTGATGGTGTTCCTGCATGGCAGGGGGTTGGACTCGATGGCCCCTGTGGGTCTCTTCCAGCTCTGTGATTCTATGATTCTATGATTTCAGGACACTCGGAAGAATGAGACCCTATTTGATTTTTCTCAAATGTAGCCATGAAATTATATAATTTGTTTCGAATGTCAGTTCTCACACATAAGCCAAGCATTCCATGCAGGTTTATCAGACAGCTGTTTTTAGCATCCTAACTAGAGTCATTATTTTATGTACGATGGTATGAAACTCTGGCATTTCAGCCACTCTTTCAGGACACTCGGAAGAATGAGACCCTATTTGATTTTTCTCAAATGTAGCCATGAAATTATATAATTTGTTTCGAATGTCAGTTCTCACACATAAGCCAAGCATTCCATGCAGGTTTATCAGACAGCTGTTTTTAGCATCCTAACTAGAGTCATTATTTTATGTACGATGGTATGAAACTCTGGCATTTCAGCCACTCTTTTCAAATCTTCTGGTGAGAATGCTGTTAAAAGAAAGATATTGGACCCCAGAGGCAGTATTCTGTTTTCATATCCAAGTTTTTCCTAAACCCTTGGGGGGAATACCATCTGATCTTCTTGAATCATCCCCTTTTAAATCAATGAATTTGCTTCCAAATCTGTTCTGCAGATACTTCAACATGAAACTTTTTCTTCCAATTCATCAACCAAGAACAAAAGCTCAAGTGTTGGCTTCTCTTTTATACCCTATTTTGTGGTGACAGATGCAAAGAACTCATCCTGTCATCACTGAGTATGCCCCTGACACTCTGGTGGTCCAGTCACTCTTCTCTTTGGTAGGGTTCCTCCCATTAATGTACTTGAAAAACAATGTTTGTTGTTGTTGCTTAATCATTAAGTCGTGTCCGACTCTTCGTGACTTCATGGACCAGAGCACACCAGGCCCTCCACTCCTCCACAGCCTCCCATAGTTTGGTCAAATGCATGTTAGTAGCTTCGATGACACTGTCGAACCATCTCATCCTCTGTCGTCCCCTTCTCCTCTTGCCTTCACACTTTCCCAACATCAGGGTCTTTTCCGGGGAGTCTTCTCTTCTCATCAGATGGCCAAAGTATTGGAGCCTCAGCTTCAGGATCTGTCCTTCCAGGGAGTACTCAGGGTTGATTTCCCTCAGAATGGATAGGTTTGATCTCCTTGCAGTCCAGGGGATTCTCAAGAGTCTCCTCCAGCACCACAATTCAAAAGCATCAATTCTTCGGTGTTCAGCCTTCCTTATGGTCCAGCACTCATTTCCATACATCACTACAGGAAAAACCATAGCTTTGGCTATGTGGACCTTTGTTGGCAAGATGATGTCTCTGCTTTTTAAGATGCTGTCTAGGTTTCTCATTGCTTTCCTCCCAAGAAGCAGGGGGCTTTTAATTTTGTGGCTGCTGTCACCATCTGCAATGATCATGGAGCTCAAGAAAATAAAATCTGTCACTACTGCCATATCTTCCCCTTTTATTTGCCAGGAGGTGATGGGACCAGTGGCCATGATCTTAGTTGTTTTGATGTTGAGCTTCAG